GATGTGACGACAAACTGCAGGACAGCCTCTCGTGTTGGACTCAGGATCCACTCTGTGTGGCGAGTTAGCAGACAAAGATTATGAGAGGGACCAAAAGTAAGCGAGGCAGTGAAGAGGAGGAGCTGACATGTTGTACTGTTGTGCCAGCATCTGTTTCCCTGCCCCTCCTCCTATTCCTCTCTCCTCCCCCTCTCTTTCTCGCTTCACACCGCCCTCATCGGCTTCTCAGTGCTCACTCTTTGGCCACCGTTGCTTCAGTAATGCCAATGACAAACATGGACTTATCCATTAAAAGGGCGAAAACTTGAACTGTACACAGTAACTTTCCATTGCGTCTTGTGCCATTTTTATCTCCTGATGTGATCATGTCGGCCAGTTCATTTGTTCCTCTTGTGGGTTTTAGACTAGATTGGCGTAAAATTGCATATGGACATTTATGTTTTCCAAAAGATGAATCTTGATAATATTTTTGAGCACCTTTAAACTGGCATTTGCGGTTTTGACTCACACGTTCTGGCAAAATTCAATGGATTGTTGTGAAACAGATATAGCATTAGTGCTCTCCTCTGTCTAGTGCCATCATCAGGTTTGAAATATATAAAATATGTCTAATACTTTGGCTCATGCACTGTGAAACATTTTTTAACAGTTGTTGACAGGAATTCTTTTTTTTAAATGTACTATTATTTTACAGATTTTCCCTGTATAATTAAATGACAGGTAAAATCACAGAGAAATAGACTTTTTACAGACTATTTTTACTGTATTTAAATCACAAAGCAAGATTTTTTTAATTGATATTTGCTGCTATTTGAAAGAAAAAAATGTGTATATTAAGGACTGAAAAATGCTCAATTTTGAATCTCTTATTTTACTAAATTTTCTACCTATCAACACCACAGAGAAATGTATTAATTTACACGATGACTGTGGTAAAAACAGGTCCGAACTGAGCCTAACATCTGCATTGAAAATCTGTATTTTTACAAATTTTAAGTGGTCTGTTTCCAATGTGTTACTGTATTTATATTCAGTAAAAATATCATTGTTTTACAGACATTTGGTGTTATTTTCACCATTTTAACAGTTTTGAATGTAACAGTGTTCAATCCTGTCATAACATATTTTTTTCACAATTTCTTTGAAATAGTTTTTCAAATGTGACCAAATACCTGTAAAATGTACAAATGTTAGCATAGTCACGTGCAACAATAACATGGTGAACATGATCAATAGGATACCCGTTAAACATTCACATGTTAGCATTGTCATATGCACATGTTGGCATGTTAGACACTTATTGAAAATAAATGTGTAAGAGAGAAATCCACTTGAGGTAAATAAAATCAGAGGCGTGAAAAAATTATAATGTCAATCATGGTGTGAAGCAGTTTGTCTAATGTGTCACATTCTGTGTCACTAAAACTTAATAAAAGCAGCCCTAGTTACTCATGTGTACCTGCAGATTAACTTTATATCAAATCTATCATTTAGGTTTTTAAAACTGGTAATTGAACCATCTTGTCGAATCAGTTTGACAGCCTGCTCCTCTACCACTGTCACCACAGGTACTAAAACATTTCCCCTGCTGTGGAAAAACCAACAAATACCCCACACACAGCAAACTGAGCTGGCAGGATGGAGGCAGAATGATTTAATCTCACAGCCAAGATTAAGTATTCATGACTAGATGATCTTCTGAGCACAGCTGTCCAGGCTCGTGACAGCTGGTGGTGTGATTCAAGAAGATTTACGTATAAACCTATACGAACCCAAACATGGACAAAGTTGGTGAAGAAGAGAAAAAAAAGGACAAGAAGAATTTATCATACAGCTACTGTTTCTATGTATTGCACAGTTCTACATACATAGAGATAAGGAAACATTCATGTCGAGGTTTGACTCACAACGATGGACTCTCAACCCACAGAGGACAGATTACAGCTATAAAAAAAACTCGCTTGGCCATCAAGTTAAGCTTTTAAAAACTCTGCTGAAATGATGATCCCTCTAAACTGAACAGCACTGATCTCTGCACAGTGTAGGATTACTGTATGTGCGTGCCTGTGTATGTAAGTATGCACACGCCTAATTGGTCAATAATTAATTAACACAATAAGCTAATGTTTGCTTTTTGCATCTGCTTTTAGTATTTTATATTAAAATACTGTATATTTAAGTGCAATGTTAAACACTTTCAAAAACATACCTGATGTGAGCACTGCTTTTCTGTCAAACAGCTCCCCACTCTGGCTGACACAAGAAGTGCAGGAAACTACAGTATTTTTCTAAAATCACTTTGACATGAGCCCAGCAGATAAACTCACTGTGGTACCTTCGCATCCTGCAGCCACACTGGACTTCTTGGTCCACTTGAACTGTGTCCGAACTTCCTGTTTGTTCTCATCAGACAGCAGCTTCTCCCTGCTGGTGTCTGAAATCTTATGCAAAAAAATAGAGACAGAAGTGAGTGAGTGGGTGAGATAAAGAAAATACTCTTTCAAAAGCACTTATTACACTGTACATATGTGTGACAGATTAAGGAGCAGGTAGACCCAGACAGAACATAAAAAGTAATTATGCCACTTTGCCACTATTTTGTTGTTATTTTTA